CGTCTGCTCTCCATGACTAGGGGAGAACATCTGATAATCCATTTTACATCCACTTCATACCCAAATACCCAGTTACACTGCACACCAGGATTTGTCCCAGTTACTCAGAGCCAAGGACACAGATGCTGTAGGCCCTACCATAAGTAAAGATCTGGGTTTCCGTTCCCCCTGGAGGGACTGATAACACCCCTGACCTTTGAGCAAGGCTTGTATTTGGGGTCCTGTCACCTAGGACTTCATGGACAAGTTCTCGGCACTTTTCTCTTTTCAGAAGTCCTACAAAACCGAGCTGAAGATCAACGTTCGTGGGAACAGCCAGCTCCTCGTGCTGCACATCTCAGGACAGGGTCTGGAGCCACGGCTGGAGTTCAGCCCCACGGAGATCAAGCTGGGAGCGGTGCTTCCGTGCGGCCCTGAGCTGGAGAGGACAGTGGTGGTGAAGAACCCCTGCGAGTTCCCCACTGAATTTTACTCCCTGGAGTTTGACGAGGAGTACCGTGAGGAGGAGAAGGTGAGAGGGAAGGTCTGGTCCCCATGTGTGTGCTCCCCAAGCTGTGCAGCACTCCAGCCTTCCCAGGCTTGTGCCAGGGAGATGGAGGCAATCCCCAGGGCAAAGCCTGGTGGCACTTTGAGGTGAGCCATCCCTGCTGGCAGTCTGTGGAGGGGCTTGGATAGCCTGTGTTGTTGGGAGGAAGGAAGGAGGGAGAAGATGGGCTGAGTCTGTTGGTATGATGGAGGTTGATAAAGGAATCTTGTGGATGGTTTCTCTTCCCCACACGCACAGATCCTGCGGACGCTGGAGGAGTTTGGAGACCGGACGGCCGTGGTGATGCCTCCACACGCTGTGGGTGAGAAGCTGCCCCCAGAGGTGCTGGAATATTATGAAAAATGGAAGAAGATGGAGGCTCTGGGTCAAGAGATGTTCAAGCACAAGGAAGAATCAGGCGAGGACAATGGTAAGTGTCGTGGTTTGAATCTTGTTTTCCCCCAGAGGCTAAATTAAGTGGTAGACCCCAAGGGGTGGAAACCCCTGGAAGTTTTGGAGTTCTGTCCAATGGGCGCTCCTGCAAAAATGTAAACATATCACAAGCTCACCGGAAGAGATGAGCTGTAGTTAGGGTTGTTGCAGGAGAGGTGGCCATGTTGTAGAGCCACGAGGAAGGGGCTCTGAGCCCCTTGGGCCCTCTGGGCCCTCCCAGCCCCTGACTGGGGGGGGCTGCAGGGACCTGGAGCAGCATAAAGCTGGGCTAGGTGCCTGTAGTTATGCTGGGAGATGTTTTCTCCATGGGCGCAGAGAAGCAGCCGGCTCTGACCAGAGAAACGGTGGCAGAGAGCCAGAGCAGATAACACCTGAACTGAAGGAGCAGCAGAAACAACATGCAGCACTGCAGAGAAGACTCCTGGAAAGAGAGCCGAGGAGAAAGAGAGCCAGCAGCCTGAGAGACAGAGTTCTGGGGGTAAGACTGTACCAGCCCCCCAAAACTCCTTTGAGATCCCTCTGAGAAGAGAGGGAGATGGACTCCTATTAAGGAGAAGAGTTTTAGACATGCAGCACCGGAGAGAGAGAGGAGCTGAGAAGCTCAGAGCGTCCCGGAGCTGGACCGGGACGGCCAGAGGAATGCGGGGGGAGTTGACCTTGGTTCTACCCCCCCTTGCACTGCTGCCACGGTGGCAGCCTGAGAGACAGGGCACAGAGGCCCTGCAAGGAGCTGAGTCTCCTGGAGATACCAGACCGTCACGAAGACCCCCCTGTGTCTTCGTGATATGACGTGGTGATACGACCTTGTCTGGGGTTACGAAGCCCACGGAAGACCCCTCGGTTGGAGGCGATGGGGCCGAGAGAGGCTTGAATACCTCCCTCGTGGATGCTGGCAGAAATCCAGCTATCAGCTGCTGCATGTGGAGAAGACAGACAGACTGCTGCCTCAGAAGATGCTGCTGCTTAAGGACTGGAAGGGATCTGTCCTTCTTTCCCTCCTGGACTTTTATTTGGAGGGGAGAAGAGATCTGATCCATTGTAAATACATATGTCATGGTAGAGATAGTTTGTGATCGTGTGTATAATGTGATATGGTATTTATTTGTACAGTCATTGTAATATATTCCCTTTCCCCCACTTTGAGTCTGGTGTGTTTTGTCTGGAAAAACCCATCTCACATTAGGTTGAGATGTGGGAGGGGGGGATGGAGCTAGGGAATTGGATTTTGAGGCTATCTCAAACCATGACAGTAAGGCTTTGGCATTGGCTGTTCTGACTGGGGACATAGCAGGGAGCCCAGCCCACACAGCCCGAGCTCTCTGTCACTTTGTTCTCCATGCAAAGCCCATGCTTTTAGCAGCCATCTGACCTCCTGCCTGGTGGAGGAATTCCTGGGTGAAGGGCTGTGGCATCCTCTGCCAACCTGGAGTGTAGCCAAAGCCAGCTCCTATCTGCCTGCCACAGACTGGGGAAGTAGTCAGGATATCCCCTTGCGTCCCTTAGCCACAAAGAGTAGCATCAGATGAGCTCTTCAGCCAGTAGAACCAGGTCTAATATCACTGGCTCTTTTCTATTTGCTCCTTGCCAGCAACAAAAGCACAAGCTCCCGTTGCTTTCGGCCGTCTCCTTTCCTGGGATCGGAGGGGATAGGGAGGATGATCAGGATCCAAGGTAGGCAGGAGGCTGACTTTTCTGCTGGTTCTGCACAGCAGCACTTCAAGAGAGCATCAGGTTGTTGAAGGACATGGTGGACGAGTGTGACAGGCCCATCCGTCAGGCCGTCAGGCGCTACCTCGACACCAATCCCGTTGGAGAAGAGCTCAAAGCCCAAATGCCCAGAGGGATTGCCATCATCGTCTATGGGACCCCGCGGACAGGTACGGGAGCCACAGCCCTGGGCTGCAAGGAGAGGGGGAAGCAGGAGAAATGCATCCTGGTGGAGCGTGGTGCCTGAGACAAAGTCCTCAGCTGCATTACGAGGTGGAGATGACCCACCTGGGGCTGGAGTTCAGTGCTCGTAACCGTGCTCAAGCTGCCTCCCTCGTGGTCTCCCCTAGAAGGGCACTTGCTTTCCCACCGTCCTTGAAAGCCGTTTGTGAGTTTCCAGAGGCTGTCCCTGAAAATGCCTCCCGTGCAGGTGTCACCAAGCAGTCTTCCTCTCTCTCTCAGGAAAGACAAGGGCGGCGGCCGCCCTGTCCAAGTATTACAGTGCCGCCTGCTTGTCCCTGGCCGAGGTGGGGACAGAAGCCATGTCGGACGAGCGCAGCTCGGCGGGGCGCCGTGCCCGGGAGCTGTGCGTCGAGGCTGCCCGTCAGCAAAGAGCCAGGAGGGAACAGATGCCGGGTAAGGAGAAACGCTGCACCCAGAGCATGCTTAGGAAACCACCACGACCGTCCACTTCTGCTTGCTCAGAGAAATGGTTTGGCAGCCCTCGGGTCTCTTAGGGAACATGGGTGCTGTGCATCTCTGGCTAGTTTGGAAACAGAAAGCTCGATTTGAAGGGCTCCCACAGGGGCACTTTTACTGCCATTCTTGGCACATATTCCTTTTTCTAGGGGTGGTGAAGCACACCTGTCTCTTTCTCTGAATTTTTTCTATTTCCTCAAAGCTGAATCCAGCTTGCTGCTCATGGGCAGCAGGCAGAACCATTGCCCACCTTCAGAAGGAAAAAGCCCTCTGAAGTGGCTCATTAAGCACAAGACAGCTATGAGTGTGGCTTTGCAAATGTGAGAGGAAGGCAAGAATAAGCTCCTAGAGGAGTTTCCAATGAGAAACATGCTGTAGATGAGCTCTTTTCTCCAGAGATTTTCCTATGCCCACTGTTGGCTCATGCAGCTTGTGCACGCTGTGCTGTTCTCCAGATCAGACTGGAGACTTTCAGGAAACTTTGCTGGCAGTTGGTGCCCTGAGCTCTGCAGGGTGAGGGCAGACCTGCTTAGTGTGGGGAGAAGTTTTGCATTGCTTTGCTTTGAACCTGGTTGGGTTCAGAGCTGGTGGAAGGAAGAAGGGTGTGGATCCCAGCTGGGGTTTTCCCATACGGAGGGTTTAGCTCCAGCAGAGGTGGGTGATGCAGCTGGGGCAGGGCTGCACGTTACAGTCTCCATGTGAAAATGCAGGATGGGTGCAAGGTATGGAAACAATGGTCCTGGAGGGCAAATCTTTGGCTTGATCCGTAGGGGAACTACTGTGCAAGCAGTGTCACCTGCATGCACATTTGTTAGGAGGGACCTAGGGCTGGCTTTAGAATCCAGTCTGGGCTGGTGTGCTGTATCCTGCTGATAAGCAGGGAAGGAGCTGCTTCTGGGAAGCAGTGCTGCCAGTGCCCAGCAGGCTGGGGGACAGGTGCCATGTCCCTTCCAGGGGCAAGGCTGTGCCCATTGGGGTGGAAGGTGCCTGCTCGCTCCTCACAGCCCTGCTGAGCCATCTGTCCCCTCTGCAGGTAAAAAGGGTGCTGAGGCCAAGAAAACCCAGCCCAGCCCTGGGGACAAAGCCAGCCAGAAGACCCTCAGTGCTGGACACCAGAGCACTTCAGCAACCAAGGATAAGGCATCTGACAAACCCCAGGCAAGATTTTCAGTGCCCTCCAAGGTGAAACATGATCTGCACTGGTTAATGCCTGGGACCTTCCTGTTGCTGTTGAGATGGGAAGGGGCTGCTTACAGTGGAGGCTCCCTGTCACCAAGGGCCTGGTGCAAGGTCTACAGTGCCAAGGGCCAGCTGGGCATGGCTTGGGGTGGGAATGTGCTCTGGCAGAAAAGCACCATTGGTTCTTAATGGTTTGTGGGCAAAGTGCATTCCTGGCTGACTTGGCTGCAGGCGGCGAGCAAAGCTGTGGGAGGCTGTGCCGGGGGCTTGCAAGCTTGGGTCTCTGCTGGCCAAGGGACGGGCCCTCCAGGGCCTGCACTGCAGGGTTGCCCTTGTCTCCGCTAGCGAGGAAGCCCAGATGTGAGCCCAGCACTGGGAACTGTCCAGGGCTTTCTGCAGGGGTTTATTTTCCTTACCATGTTCCACATTGCAGATGGCAGCCGTTTCCTGTGCCACCGCTCCTGCGCCACAGTGACTGACCATCCTCACCAGGACGGGGAGAAAGGAGGAAAAGAGGAAGTGTTGGAGCTGTGTGCTGCCCGAGGAATTGCTGGTGGAAATCATCTCTGAACGGCTGCAGGTACGTGGCGTGGGGGAAAGGGAGACACTCCTGCTCCAGAGAGACAGGCAGTGAGGTACAGCTCGGAGAGGAGGAGGAGGAGGTCTGTGCCTGCTGCTGGAGGATCCTGTGCCGCATGAGGGATCCTTGGGGGAAGGTGCAGATGCCCTAAGTTGGCAGATCCAAGCTGGTCGTAGCTAATGCACTTGGAATGACAGTGACTGGTGTCCTGAGACATCTGCATTTACTGACCCGCTGCGAGCCCAACGTGTGCGATGGCTGACTCGCTGTTCCTGTTTGTCTCTCCTGGCAGCTGAGTGACTGCTACAAGGGAGTGGTGTTTGATGGCCTGGAGACCCTCTTTGCGAGCAGCCTGGCATCTTCTCTCCTGTGCGTGCTCAAAGCTGTCAGCAATCGCCCTCATATCCACGTTGTGAACATCTTCCAGGATTCTGAGTTTTGGAAAGGCAGGCAGATAGCTGCAAGAGAGAAGAGGGCAAACCCAAGAAGAAGGTGCAGCGGTCAGCAAAACTAGTGACACCATTTGTGTCATGGCTTCTCCTGCTCGTGGTTTCCCAGCCTTCAGCAGAGACCTCCCCATCTACTCCTCAAGCCCCAACACCCATCTCTACCTCATCTGTGTACCACCTAATAAACTGTGTCTGAACCCACGAGTTTTCTCACTGTTACTCTTCCAGTTCTCTCCCACCTCCCCGGGAGGGGAGTGAGCAGGTGTCTGTGTGGTGCTTGGTTGGGAGCTGGGGCTCAGCCATCTCCAGGAAAGCAGCTGTGATCAGACATCACCCCCATTGCTCCGCAGGCTGCTCTGCTCTCTTAGGAATTCCCATTCCTCGACCTTTGTGTCATGGGGGGGTAGTGAAGTGTCCCTTTGGTCACACCAGGAACTCTGCACAACTAATGTGGGAGCAGCACTGACTGTACCAAGAACTCCAGTTGCTTGGCTAAAGGCTGGGGTGAGCATCTGCAGCTGCTGCAGAAGCAGGCATTTCATCAGCAAATGTGCAGCTGACACCAAGCTGGGGGTGTGTTGATGTGCTGGAAGGCAGGAGGGCTCTGCAGAGGGACCTGGCCCAGCTGGATCCATGGGCTGATTGCAAGGGGATGAGGTTCCAGCAGGCCAAGGGCCGGGTCCTGCCCTTTGGCCACAAGAAGCCCCGGCAGCCCCCCGGGCTGGGGCCAGAGTGGCTGGAGAGCAGGCAGGCAGGAAGGGAGCTGGGAGTGGGGATGGACAGGAAGCTGAAGAGGAGGCAGAGTGTGGCCAGGTGGCCAAGAGGGCCAATGGATGGTGGCCTGGCTGAGGAAGAGTGTGGCAGCAGGAGCAGGGAAGGGATTGTTGGGCTGGAGTGAGCGCTGGTGAGGCCACCCCTGGAGTGCTGTGTCCAGCTCTGGGCCCCTGAGTTGAGGAAGGCCCTGGAGGGGCTGGAGCAGGAGCAGAGAAGAGCAGCGAGGCTGGGGAAGGGAGTGGAGCACAAGTGGTGTGAGGAGAGGCTGAGGGAGCTGGGATATCCAGGGAGTGGCTGGGAGTGACTGAGATCATTCTGGGAGTGACTGGAACCATAGCAGGGGTGAAGGGGAGCAACTGGAACCATGCTGGGGGCAACTGGGATCCTACTGGGAGCAGTTGGGCCCCTCCTGGGGTCATACTGGGAGTGACTGCAATAATACTGGGAGTGTGTGAGAGGGACTGTGGCCATACTGGGGATGAGTGGGATCAAAGTGGCTTCCTACTGGACGTGTCTGGAAGTTACTGGGATCATACTGGGGGTGACTGGACTCATACTGGGATCATACTGGGAGCAACTGGGACCATGCGGAGGGCAAATGGCATCCTCCAGGGAGTGACTGGGAGTGACTGGGGCCAGACTGGACTCAGACGGGGAGTCCCTGAGAGTGAAAGGAGCCATCCTGGGGGTGACTGGGAGCAACTGGGACCACCTTGGGGGCAACTGGGATCCAGCACCATACTGGAATCATAGCGGGAGCGACTGTAAGGGACCAGGATCAAACTGGGAGTGACTGGAACTATGCAGGGGGGAACTGGGAGCCAGTGGGGCCATGCTGGAAGGCAACTGGGAACATCCTTGGAGCAACTGGGATCATGCTGGAAGCAACTGGGAGTAACTGGGAGTGACAGGGTGCATGCTGGGGGCAACTGGCATAAACTGGGAGTGACTGGGAGTGACCAGGATCATCCTGATGGAAACTGGAACCATCCTGGGGCAAGTGGAAGTAACTGGGTGCAGTGGGTTTCTGTGGCTGGGTTTTGGTAGCGGGGGGGCTACAGGGGTGGCTTCTGTTAGAAGCTGCCAGAAGCTTCCCCTGTCCCGTGGAGCCAATGCCAGTGGCTCCAGGATGGAATTCCTGCTGCTGGCCAAGGCTGAGACAGTCAGGAGTGACAGCAATGCCTCTGGGATAACATATTTAAGAAAAAGAAGGAATTCCAGCCAGGGAAGAGCGGAGTGAGAACATGGTCAGTGCAGAAGGAAGGGCAGGAGGTGCTCCAGGCACTGGAGCTGAGGCCCTGCAGCCCGTGGGGCAGAGCAGGGTGGGGCAGCTGTGCCCCTGCAGCCCCTGGAGGAGCAGCGGGGTGCAGAGACCCCCCTGCAGCCCCTGGAGGAGCATCGGGGTGCAGAGACCCCCCTGCAGCCCATGGAGGCTCCCACGCTGGAGCAGGTGGATGCAGGAAGGGGGCTGTGACCCCGTGGCAGGCCCAGGATGGAGCAGGGTCCTGGCAGGGACCTGCAGCCCGTGGAGAGGGAAGCCCAGGCTGGAGCAGGTTTTTCCCAGGTAGGACTCATGGCCCCTGTGGGGGACCCACGCCGGTACAGCTCAGCCGTGAGGGACTGACCCCATGGAGGAGTGACCCACGGGACAGCAGGTTGGGAAGAGCTGCTGCCCGAGGGATGGACTCACGCCGGAGAGGTCCATCAAGGACTGTCTCCCGTGGGAGGGACCCCACGGGAGCAGGGGAAGGACTCCAACTCCTCTCTCTGAGCAGCGGCAGAAACAACAACTGACCGTGACCCCCATTCCCATCCCCTCCCATCTCCCTGCTGGGGGGGAGGAGGGAGAACATGGAAGGAAAGGGGGGGGAAGGTGTTTTTAAGACTGTTTTATTTCTCACTCTTTGGCTCTTATCCTGTTAGTATTAAATATAAGTACTATCCCCACTTGGAGTCTTGTTTTGCCCGTGAAGGTGATCAGTCACTGACCTCTCCCAGCTCTTAGCTCTACTCAGGAATTCTTAGCTGGTTTTTTTCTCTGTCCTCTGTCCAGTTGCAGAGGGAGAGTGAGAGAGTGGCTTTAGTGGGTACCTGGTATCTGGCCAGGGTCAACCCATTACAAGAATATAAAAAGAAGTAATGTTTTTGGCCTTGTTCTGATGCAGTTAAGGAGCTGGAAAACCAAGACTGGTGCAGGGAGGTCCAAAGCATGGCTTTGGGTCTGGATGATGGAGACATCACATTTAGAGGGAGACAGACTCTGCCGTTGCTTTCCTAGACTTTGTCCCAGCTTAATGGTGTTTTTCCACCCACAGCAGCATTGCTGGGAGATGTTGCAGTGGCACATCCCCCCTTCTCTGCCAGGGCAGCATCTTGGCCCTTCCCACCCCACCATGGATTTTCCATTCCTGTGGCAGGGACTTGTCCCCACCTGATATCCGAATGGGAAATGCAACTCCTGGGGGTGGCTTTCATGGTTCCACCACAGGCTGGCACAGATTCTGATCCAGCTTTGAGAAATTGTGTGGTCTACGTGTTCTGGATAAAGCTGTCCCACCTTTGCACGTTCTGACCCAAGAGAGTTTCGGTGGCCAGTTTGTGTATCAAAAGCACTCGGTACTAAAATGTACCAAGTTGCACCTGTGGACAAATCTGCACGAGCTCAATGCCCTGCGTACCCACACAGGCTTTTCTGTCTCGAATCCTGCTCATTGCGTGCCTGAGACTGGATTTATTTCAGCAGCTAAATGGTTCACTGGAGGACTAATTGGCTCTGAGAGCTCCAGTCCTTTGTGACAGATTATTAACCCTTCCCCCTTCATTATAAAACCATGAACTGTAGAGAAATCAAATAGCACAGGGCCCCTGCGCCGAGCCCGTCAGTGCTCCCGGCTCGGTGTTCAGCACAGAAAGTCCCTTTTATAGTTGGGAAGCGGAGGGAGAAAATTCTGGAAGCGTGAGAACGCGGCGATAGCTGGGATGAAGTGGGAGCCCTTAGGAAAGGACTGGGAGGTACTGGGATAAACTGGGAGCCCCGGGGAAGGAACCGCCATTTGCGTAGCGCTGAGGGCAGGGCGCTTACGCCATTTGCGTAGCCCAACGCAGTTTACGTAGCGCCCCTCCCTTGCCGTTACCGGCGCCCCCTTACGCCGTTTGCGTAGGGCTGTGGGCAGCGGCGTTAGGAGGGGACTGGGATGGACTGGGAGCCCTTAGGAGGGAACTGAGAGCCCTTAGGGAGGGACTGGGACAAAGCGGGAGCCCTTTGGAGAGGACTGGGATGAAGTGGGAAAGGTCCGCGAGCCCTCAGGAAGCCACCGTGGCCCTCCCGCCATTTGCGTAGTGCTGAGGGCAGGGCCCTTGCGCCACTTGCGTAACTTGCGTAGCTTTACGCAACTGACGTAACTCCCCCATTGCCATTACCGGCTCCCTCCTTACGCTGTTTGCGTAGCGCCGCAGGATTGCTGGCCCCCTTACGCAATTTGCGTAGCGCCGCTCCATTGCCGGGGGTGTCCAAAAGCTCCTCCAAAAGTCAGTTTATGGCTTTGCAGAGGGCTCTCGGGAGTCACCGAGGGGCTGAATGTAAAGAGAGAAAAATTAAATCTTTAGGGGGAAAAAAACATATAACAATTGCATGTCTGTGTTCCCGAGGAGCCGTGGGTGTTTTTAGGCAGCTGCCTGCAGAGGCCATCGCCATTTCGTGAGGCGGCATTAATGCAGCGGGAGGAGACTTGTTCTGCTGTTCACAGAAATTCGGATTTTAAGGGTTTTGTCCTTGGTTTGAAGCTTCTTCATTCTTCCTTTGCTCTATTTCAGAGCAAAGGCTTTCATTTTTAAACTTAAGGGGGGAAAAGTATTAACAACAAGTGAGGAAAACTAGGGGGAAAAGGGAAAAGTTCTTCTGAAAGGATTACAATGTGCAAGCAAAATCAGTTCTCTCTCCAGGAGACAAAAAATATTAGAGGTGTAAATTGGCTCCAAAAATGCCCCCAGGGGCATAGGGAGGATAATCAGGATGACATCCTGGCTGAGCACTCAGCATCCGGGGCATGGCCCAGGTGTGCAGGGAAAATGCAGCTCATCAGGCATGTGTTAAACAGAGAATTTGTTTCTGGTATAAAAAGATGCCTGACTGGTCTGTGCACACACCAAACCAGCCCTTTGTGACTTGCACGGGCCGACTTGACTTCCAGGTTTTGAAACACTAGTTTTGATCTAAAAGCCCAGCCAATTGCTAGTGCTGCAGAATTTCTTGTTTGATGCAAGGAGAAAACAGGGATTGTGGCAGGAGCGAGGTCAGGCAGATCCCCTTCAGTGCAAAACTCCTGGAGGGAGCTGCAGCATTTCTGTTAAGGGCCTTCTGTGTTGGAGTTGACTTCTTCCACTCCGGGACCTTTCACTTGCAAAGTACATTATGGGGCTCCTTTGTT